CCCACCAACTGCTCCAACGTGCCTCTTGCCCACGGGCTGCAGTTCTTCACCAACTGCTCCGCCGTGGGTCCCTTCTACAGGGTGCAGACCTTCAGGAACAAACTGCTCCAGTGTGGGTCCCCCATGGGGTCACAAGTCCTGCCAGCAAACCTGCTCCGGCCTGGGCTCCTCTCTGCACGGGGCCACAGGTCCTGCCAGGAGTCTGTGCAGCGTAGGCTTCCCATGGGGTTACAGCCTCCTTCAGGTGTCTCCACCGGCTCCAGTGTGGGGTCCTCCACGGGCTGCATGGGAATCTCTGCTGCCTGTCATCCTTCCTCCATGGGCTGCAGGTGGACAGCCTGCCTCACCATGGTCTTCTCCATGGGCTGCAGGGGAATATCTGCTCCAGCGCCTGGAGCACCTCCTCCCCCTCCTTCTACACTGGCCTGGGTGTCTGCAGAGTTTCTCACATCTTCTCTCTCTGACCGCAAAAGCTCCTTCCTAGGTTGGTTTTTTTCCCTTCTTAACTATGTTATCCCAGAGGTGCTACCACCATCGCTGATGGGCTCAGCCTTGGCCAGTGGCGAGTCTGTCTTGGAGCCGGCTGGGCTTGGCCCTGTCCGCCATTGGGGAAGCTTCTAGCAGCTTCTCGCAGAAACCACTGCTGTAGGCCCCACCCCGGTACCAAAACCTGGCCACGCAAACCCAATACATACTATTTGTCTTCCTTACTGGCAAATTTGATCTTTATCTGTTATCCAGACAGTGTTCTCAAAAAGGTAAGGTTCTTTAAACTACATTTGATGGGAAAGCAGATCACATGGTTATAATAAATGATTTAATAACATTTTATTTTAAAGCCAAAATACATTAAGGCAAACAGATTTCTATAACACTTGATCTGAAATTCTCAACTGCTGTGAACCGAAATGAAAAACTACAGTTTTCTTTTCCTTGTAATTTGTAGTTCACAAATAACCATGCTTCCCAGCAATACTAATTTGTGACCTACTGTTGTTTCCCTACTGAGTCTTTCCAACATGTTAACTACAAAAAATACTCTTCATTTCTCTCCTGCCTTGATAAGCAACAATGCTTTTTGTGTATTTCTCAATAATTACTTTAATCAATCTTGAGAACTTATAGAATCACAGAATGGTTTCGGTTGGAAGGGACCTTAAAGATCATCTAGTTCCAACTCCCCTGCCATGGGCAGGCACACCCTCCACTAGACCACGTTGCCCAAAGCCCCATCCAGCCAGGCCTTGAACACTTCCAGGGATGGGGCATCCACAGCTTCTCTGGGCAACCTGTGCCAGTGCCTCACCACTCTCACAGGGAAGAATTTCTTCCTAACATCTATTCTAAATCGACCCTCTTGTAGTTTAAGCCCATTACTTTGTCACTACACTCCCTGATAAACATTCCCTCACCATCTTTTCTGTAGGCCCCTTTAGGTACTGGAAGGCAGTGATAAGGTCTCCCCGGAGCCTTCTCTTCTCCAGGCTGAACAACCCCAACTCTCTCAGCCTGTCCTCACAGGAGAGGTGCTCCAGCCCTCTGATCAACTTTCAGGCGAGTCTGGACTCGCTCCAACAGCTCCACATCTTTCTTGTAGTGAGGACCCCAGAGCTGGACACAGTACTCCAGATGGGGTCTAACCAGAGCAGAGTAGAGGAGCAGAATCACCTCCCTCGACCTGCTGGTCACGCTTCTTTTGATGCAGCCCAGGATACGGTTGGCTTTCTGGGCTGCAAGTGCACGCTGCTGGGTCACATTGAGGTTTTCATCAATCAACACCCCCAAGTCCTTCTCCTCAGGGCTGCTCTCAATCCATTCCCCACCCAGCCTGTAGTTGTGCTTGGGGTTGCCCCAACCCATGTGCAGGACCTTGCTCTTGGCCGTGCTGAAGTTCATGCATTTTGCACAGGCCCACTTGTCAAGCCTGTCAAGGTCCCTCTGGAATCTTTGCCACTCCCAGTACAACGGCTTGGGAGCAGCCATACTTATGTTGTAGTTCTGTGCAGCATGTTAAACCAGACAAGTGGAATGACAACCATGAAGTAGAATCTAACAACAGGTCTAAAAGCTTGCGTTTGGTAATACACCAAAAATGCTATCAGGAAAACTGTCTTTAAAGTACTTAACAGATCAATGAGTTTAAGTTAATGTTCGCAGTAAACCAATGATAATCATAAAAGGACTGAAGGTTTCTTTAAAAAAGTAGAGGTTTTTAATCCATTTTTTGTGGGAATCATTTTTAAAAGATGAGAAAAGTGTTGTGTTTGAAAGGAAGTTTGCACTTGTGGGGCAGAGATTTCAGCCTTCTGTCTGAACTGGTTCCTGAGTTTGGACAGAAGAAGAGTCCTGGTGATATAATGAGAACCTTCTTCTTTGACCATCTGTATGAAGACTGTACAGAACAGTAGAAGATCAATGTTACAGCCACTGGACAAAACATGAAATAAGACTTTTCTCTATTTTAGTACTAGGGTTTTGTCAGTGGTTTTTGATAATTATTGCTTGCTTTAACTACTTTTCAGAAGGAAAGAAAAAGACAAATGTTGTAGCAAATCCAGTTGGGAATCTAGAAGCAGTGGTGATTACAGGAGTAACAATTTTTAAGTATTTCTTGTCAGTGAAGACACTAAAATAATACATTTTCAGTGGTTTGAACAAAGAACATTGTATGGCCTTCATTTTGGAAGATTATAAGAAGAATTTTAGAAGATGAGCATAAATTACCCCATCCCAATAACATTCCTATATTATAAAAAATTTGATATATATAACAGACATATCATAGAGATGTTTGTCCATCTATCCATACATATATATTTGTTTGTGCAAATATCTGTGTGGTTTGGGTTTTGTTTTGTTTTTGAGAACAGTCTCAGCACAAAACACCATGTGGTTTCTGGTTAGCGGGAAAAAAACCTTTTTTTTTAAATAGGTACTCAAAACTAGTGTTTTGCTTAATTGCATTCTGTATGTTCTAGTTCTGTTACCGGGTTTTGAATAGGGTTTAATGTAACAGTTGGCATGATAACAAAAAGTGGGGGAAAAAGTGTTATTAGACTGTTTATTATGTTGCAATGTTGTTGGGTTTTTTTCACATCAGCTGCACTTTTCCTAGAACTGTTTCTCACTAAGTAAATTATAACCCTGTGTATTACCTTCTGGCTAAAGAACTGTGTGACTTGGCTTTGATTTCTAACTGCCACATGGAGTACTGCAGGATATGGGGGTGGTTTTTTCTTCAATTTTTATTTAATAAGTGGTTTTCCCCTGTTTACTGTCTTTGGGCTTTTAATAAATTTTCTTGAGCTCATTGTTTTTTTCTTTGCATAAGTAGAAATGATATGTTTCAGGCAAGATTGTGGATTTACTGACCTGATTTTGTAGGGGAACCAAGAGGTGCATCACAGTCCAAAAAGAGAACAGAAACCTTCCCAGTTGTCTGCATTCCTTCATGGACAGGAGAAAAGGAATGAATAGACCCTTTGCTCTCTTCCCGCTTAGATGCATACATTTATGAAAGCCTAAAGGAGGATGTAATCTGCTAATACATGATGCAGTCAGGGTATTGTCACTTACTACTCCCTGTCCAGAAAAAAAGGGAAACCCTGGCACAGAGCTTCAGGGCATCACTTGAACCAGTGGACCTCTGATACTAGTCTGTCTGCAGTTTTCTCCAGATTCCCCATGCTTAATCTGACTGTGCTCTGGGCTGTCTTAATGTGGACCAGGCAGGCTCTTGTCATGTTAGCTTGGCACTAAGCCTGGCCCTCCTAAGCACCACACTGGTGCAGTAACGTAAAAGGTTTATGCCCAGAGGAGCAGAGCACAAACACATCAGCAAAAAAACCTGGAGCTCTGCTGCATAAAAAAACCAAAGTGTATTAGCAGAGAAAGTTTATATGGAAAATGTTAGCTCTCCATCATTATGGAAATTTGGAAAGTCAAAAGTCTTGCTACATTTAGCAGGGAACAGGCACAGTAGTGATTGTTGACCTAGAACCAGAAAGTCTCAGGTGGTTACATGTTGTTGTGATTTGATCACTTTGAGTTCAGTCCAGGACTGGGAGGTAGAATAAAAGCAGAACTGAATGTTCCCAATGTTGCTGGATTAAGCAACACCCTCCTCTAACTTCCACAGAACTTCCTCCTGGCTTTAAATGATGAGATTGATTTAATCTGAACTTACACTGTTTAGAGTCACAATATATTGCCATTGGCAGTAACAGACCTGTTGTGCCATATCTCAGACATTTGAAGAGTTTTGACAGGTTTCTAACAAAAAATGCTTAGAAGTAGGCAAGAAGATCATCTTCTGCTATCAGTCTGTTGCATGATAAGTCTTACAGAAGACAAGCCTACAATGGGGCAAGGAGATAGGGAAAGTTATGTTTATTTAGATTAAATGTGGTAGTAAAATAACCTTCAAGAACTTTTGCAGTCATCATTTGGTAAA